GAGAGTATTAGTTGGTCTATTTCTTTTGGCTCTTATGTCTACTAGATTTGTATTCTTACTTATCAAATTTCTTTGATTCTATGCTGGGCTTGAAACAATATTTGTAAAAAAATAAATAAAAAAAATTGTGAAGGACATTTTCTTCCTCTAGAGAGGATTTTCTTTTGTCTTAGGCACCTGTACATTAGCAACTAAAAATCATTCTAACCCAATTTCCATGCCTGAAAATTTTCTGGGTCTCCCAGATGACTGGTAGCTGATGCCATCTGTGCAAGGGTTGATTTGCTTCCAATTCACCTAACTTTAATAATGCCACCCTTCAGGGTCCCAGGCTGAGGTAAAAATAGAGTTCCCACTTTTGCCAAATTTTAGACTCTGATTTTTATCCTCCCTGCCTTCCCCAACAACACAAGTCAATATCTGGACCTCCTCTTCTAGATGGACAAATACAAGGCAAAAATAAGCTCAAATATTCGGCTCACATCTCTGGCTTTTCATCCTCCTTTGACCTTAGCCTATTAATTTCTCACTTATTTGTTAGCTGCTTGGTTATCTCTAAAAGGTTAAAACAAAACATGTATCCCACCTGTATTAGTAGCCTTCAGTAACGACTTGAATGATCTAACCTGCTATTACCAAAAGTAGAAGTCTAGTTCTATATGTTTCTCTCCAAATTATATCTGGAATCCATCCAATTATTTCCATTTCACTATCAAGATCCTACATACCATTATCTCTTACCTAGATCACTGAAATAGTCACCAATTTTCTGGAGACCTTAGTTGCCTCCATGAATCTAAGATACCTTAGCTCAGACTATGAGTTTCAGTCAGAATACTTTTTTGTTGTGGATTGCAGCAAGGGAGGAAGGAGTTATCTTGTGCATTACACAGAATGTTTAGCAGCATCTCTGGACTCTACCCACTGATGCTAATAGCACCCCTCCCCTTTGATTCCCAGTTACATGAATGAAAAATGTCGGTAGGCATTGCCAAATGCCCCTCAGGGACTAAGTTACCCTCCATTGGGAAACACTGTTTTAATCTACCCAATACACAGCAACAAAAGTAAAATTTAAAAATATGTAAATTGTTAGCCCTCCCATCATTAAAAGCCCTTTAATGGCTCTAAAAATTATTCAAACTTAAAGGCTTTCAAGGCCTTACATGTAAGGGATTCTGCTTATAGTCCTAACCACATCTCACGCCAATTTTCTGTTCAGACTTTATATTGTAGTCACATTGATTCTTTTCCTCCACAAAATTTTCCCACCTATCCGGCCACTGAACATTTTGTGTAATGCACAATATTTCCTTTGCCTGGAATGCTTTTACTGTTGCCTCTCATCCTGTAGAACTCAGCTTAATTGCCATTCCTTAAATGGGTATTTTGTGAATGAGTGAATGAATGAATTAATGAAGCAATTTTATCGATAATTCTAGGTCAGATGAAATATCTTATTTAAGAATTCCTTAACAAGACAAACAAGCCAAAACACACAAAATGAAACATAAAACCTACCAACTACTCTTACCCCTTCTGTCAGTTAACTTCTGATATTCTCCATATTTGCTGAGTCTCAGAAAAGGAAGTCCAGAAAACACAACTGGCCAGTCCTCAGGACATTTTTTCTGCTCATACTCCACCCCCACCCCCATACTGTTCCTCAAATGGTTTCATGGTTCTATGCTTTATAACCAAACTAATGGTTTCTGAGCAGGTTAAAAACAAACTTTATTTTTTATGTTTTATTTTCCTATTTCCTTTACTCTTTCTTCATATGCCTTCATAAACTGCCATTTTAAAGCACACTCTGAAATTATACAGATCATGTTTCTCAAAGGGAATGATATCAAATGGATTTTACTGCATGCTTTCCTAATAAAAAGAATTAATTCAACTTCAAATTTCTTCCTTTTGTGTTTAGATCTGGAAGAATGTTAAGTGATGGAATTTCTATTTAGCCCATTATCTCAAGTTTCAACATAATGATGCTTCTGCCTTGAGGTACAGGTTAGTTTAATTCTTTAAATCTTGGTTGAAATAATTCTGGAGCACTCATAATAACCAGACATTTACATTAACTAACTTCCTGATGGAGGATAAACAGTCAGCAGATGCTGAATATGGAAGGTAGGAAATAATAGTCATTCACAATATTTCCCACTATTCCTCCTGCAACTGGGATTATAAAAGATAGAGTGTTAACTTCTATAAAAGAGGGTTTCAATTGACAAGACTCGTCCAAAAAAATATTTTGAAACAGTATCCTGTCTTTTCATATGTACAGTTTATCATCGTTACTTACACCAGACTATGAGAAACAGATGTAAGATGTCTGTAGTTGTCTCTTGGGAGAAATAAGTAATACTAATGAAATACAGATTATGCTTAAACAAATAATCAAGAAATTAAAATTTATGGCACTGAGCAACTCTTGGCATGGAAATGATCTACTTGAAGCTTCTGAAAACAATATGCACCTGAGAAGAAGCATCAACTATGCTGACAAGAGAAAAAAGCACTTGATCTATGCACTCCTGAACTATTAAGAGACAGCCCTAGGAATATCCTGAAGTAGAAATAGTCTAATTCGCATGTTCTCAACATGAGTAACACATACAGCATTAATTAGGATGTAACTAGAGGAACATTTGGGAAATTATGATTCACTTATGAAAGAGTAAAATTACATTCTACAAAGGAGAAGGCACATGACAAATAAAAATTTTATCTGTATTTTTAGGATAGGTAACCAAAATAAAAACTGGCAGAAAAAATGGGAGCTTGGTGTTGTTGGGCCAAAGACCCCCCTGGTCTCTGGTCCTGACCGGTGGCGACCCCGAGAGAGAGCCAGGAGACCAAATTGATGCAAATGCAAGAGGCTTTATTCGAGCGCTCGGTCTCACAGCCTGCAGCCACCAAGGAGTGAGTGCTAGCTGGAGCCCCGAACAAGGGGAAGGGTACAGCTTTTAAAGACAAAAACCACACGCAGGTGGTTAAAAATTTTCCATTTTAATATATAGGTTTTTTGTTATTTTAGGTTATGCAACGGTTATATCCTGTAGCTGTTATTTGCTCAAACCCGCAAGATTAGCCAAGCAGATAGGCTGTTTTGCAACCCAGGACCAAGAGCATTCTGCGGTTGGGGCGTTAGGTTCTTGGAACTGGGGCAGGGTAGGTTGACGAGGGAGGGGTTTAGGGAGGTTCAGTCTAACATTCCCCCCTTTTGTTTTGGAGAGTCCGAATCATCGGACTCAAAGGGTGGTCTCGGTGTCTAGGGGCTGGTATTGTTGCTGAAGCACTAGCATGTGGACTGACTGAATCCTGTCTCTGACGAAAGAGACCAGGCGGTTTAGGATGCACGGCCCAATGGTTAGTAAGAGAATCAAGATTACCAAGGGGCCCATAAGCGAGGATAGGAGAGTAGTTAACCATGGAGCACTATCAAATCATTGTTCGAATCAGTTTTTTTTTTTTTTTTTTTTTTTTGTCTTGTTTTTAATCTTTCTCTGAGTTTAGCCATGGAGTCTTTTATTAAGCCCGAGTGGTCTGCATAGAAGCAACACTGTTCTTTTAAAGCAGCACAGAGCCCTCCTTCTTTGAGGAAGAGGAGGTCTAATCCTCTCCTATTCTGGAGAACTACTTCAGATAAAGAGGTGAGGGACTCTTCTAGTTTGGTGATGGATTGTTTTATATTTTTAAGGTTTTCATCAATAGCCATTCTTAGTTCTTCCGTATACCTAGGGGCTAGGGTGAGGGCTGCAGCTCCTGTGCCTATACCCGAGGCGACCCCTATACCCAATAAAGTTGCTAAGGTGAGGGAGACCAGTTCTCTCTTTGCTCTGACAGGGCCTGAAGGAGAGGAATCAAATTCTTTTTCGAATGCTGTGGCCTGGTAATAGAGAATCCTGGGCACTATCTGGACTAAAATGCAGAATTCCCCAGCGTTGTCAAAGGCTTGGCCTGATAAGCAAGGAGTTATACCTGTGTTGCATACCCACCATCCTTCTGTCTGGGGCTTCAGGTAATAGTCCCCTCTTGGTAGTGAGGTTAAGGTTTGGTTACAATTGGCTTTCCATTGGGGAGGAACTGTCCCTATACAGAGGCCTTGTCCTGAGACCTCGGGGAGGGTGAGCTTATTGTGGGCTTCCCATGGACAATCTTCCTGTTTGCTGGTATTAGTAAAGTTACCTAAGAAGGCTATTCCCTCATAGTAAGGGGGGCTGGCAGATAAACATAATAGACAATCGTTGGTGAGTTCAGGGAAGCTGAGGTTAAGAGTTCCGTAGCTGCCTTGTATTAAAGCGAGGGGGCTCGAAGGGGGTGTTTTTGGACTTCCTTCTGAGCTTGCGACGACAGTTGAGCAGGTGGTGGTTGCTAACCGCTTGGGAGGAGTGGGTCCCCGACGAGGGGGTACTTCTGGGATGGCTAAGCGAGGTGGGATATACCCTGGCCCAAGGGGAGCGGGTTTTTGTAATGGTTTTTCTTTTAATTTTATATTAAAGAGAATTCCTTCATCCTTTCCTTCTTTATATAATCTTAACCCCCACCATAGTCCGGTCTTCCACCTATAGATGCCGGACTTCCGTCGACCCTCTAAGGTGAAAGTAATATTTAAGGGGTTTATCCACCCGCCCCATCCTGACCCCGTGGTGGAGGAGTTCCTTCTGACAGTAATGAGTTCCCATCCTGGTTGCTGTATCCAGTAACCAGTCCCAGTTGTCTCGCACCCCCAAATTTGACAATAGTATCCACCCCGAACGCAGCTTAGGGCCTCCTGGTTTTTCTGTTCTTTTGGCCGGAGCCTAGGTTCGGGGCAGACATAAAAGGGGATTCCCTGAAGTTGCTTTCTCCGGATGTTGTTGTTACAGAGGATTCCTTTAACACCCGAATTCTTTAGTGCTCCACGCTGATCCCAGGTGATGGAGACTCCTAACTGACTCTGAAACAATGTGACTTCTCCCCTGCCTCCCCGCTGACCCCGTCCTCCTGGTGCACCGAAGTACCAATTGCGATTCCCTACTGCTAGGGCACAGATATCTGGGTGTAAACTAGGCCACCAGGTGCCGGGGGGTCTGGTGTCTGTGACCTGATAGACTATCTCTCCAGTTTGGGACTTTACTGACCAAGTTATTTTCGCGGGGGTATGTGGGCTAGAACCATACCCGGCCGCGGGGAAATGTAAAGACAAGAGGAGAATGAAAAGTCTATGAGGTGTCCTGAGAACCAGCTCGCCTGAAGATCCTGAGCCGGAGAGGGTTGTCAGTCTTCTCCGCGATCTATCCATCCGGATCCTGTTCAGGTGCTTTCTTGACGTGCGCGGCATGGACCCAGGCTGGGACTCCATCAACCCGGACAGCTGTGGGTGTGGTCAGGAGGACGACGTAAGGACCCTTCCACCTGGGCTCCAGGCTGGCGGTGCGGTGGCGCCGGACGTAGACCAGGTCCCCGACCTGAAACTGGTGTGGAACACGAAGGTCCCCCGGCTTATAGGCTTCTGCCAGGGGAGTCTATACTTCCTTCTGCAGGGACTCGATGGCTTTCAGCCTGGCCAGGAGAGATTGGGGGGTAGAGATAGAAGGGTGACTATCCCAGGGATCTATGGCCAGGGGTGGAGGCGCACCGAAGAGGAGTTCAAAGGGAGTCAACCCAACAGAATTCGGAGTATTCCTTACTCTGAAAAGGGCATAGGGGAGGAGGACTGTCCAGTCTGTTAAGCCAGTCTCTATGGATAATTTAGTCATGGTCTCTTTTAGGGTTTTATTCATTCTTTCTACCTGTCCTGAACTTTGGGGATGGTAGGCACAATGTAATTTCCAATTAATCCCCAGTATCCTGGCCAATCCCTGACTTACCTGGGCAACAAAAGCCGGTCCGTTATCAGACCCGATTACCTTGGGCAGTCCGAATCGAGGGAAAATCTCCTCCAGGATCTTCTTGGCTACCGCCATAGCAGTCTCATGTTTTGTGGGAAAGGCCTCAACCCATCCTGAAAAGGTATCTACAAATACTAGAAGGTATTTATATCCATACCTGGCAGGTTTTACCTCAGTAAAGTCAACTTCCCAGTAAACTCCTGGCTTATCTCCTCTTTCCCGTCTTCCTTCAGGGATGGCAGAAGTTTTTGCGTTGACCAACTGACAAGCCCGGCAGCTTCGGATGACTTTCTCTAGAGCCTTGGTCAGTCCTTGGAAGTGGTATCCAGTACTGCCGCACACTTTCCTGAGGTTTTTCTCACCAAGATGGGTGATCCTGTGAAGTTGAGTAAGGTACTCGGCCGCCGCTTCCCGAGGGACAACCGGCTTACCTTCCGTCCGGGTGGTCCAGATGCCTTGCTTCTTTAGGAACAGATCAGGCTGGCTGGAAAATTTTTCTTCCTCTTCTTGGGAGTAGTGTAGAAAAGTTGGCTGGGGAGGCTTCAGGGGCCACGCCGTCAGGGTGAGCAGGCAGGGTCCGTGGGCTGCTCCTCGAGCTGCTGCGTCGGCCCGTCTGTTCCCCTCTGCAACCTCAGACTCCCCTTTCTGATGCCCGGGGCAGTGTATAATGGCTAGGCGTTTGGGTGCTAAGACAGCATCTAACAATTGTAGGATCTCTGATTTGTTTTTGATCTCTTTTCCTGCCGAAGTTAACAGGCCTCGCTGTCGGTAGATGGCACCGTGTACATGTGCGGTGGCAAAAGCATATCTACTGTCAGTGTAGATATTGACTGCCTTCCCCTCTGCCAGCTGTAGGGCCTTAGTGAGGGCGATTAGTTCTGCTTTTTGGGCCGAGGTCCCTTCGGGGAGGCTACTTGCCCATACTGTAGCTTGAAGGTCTACCACCGCAGCACCTGCCTTCCGTTGCCCATCTAGGAGAAAACTACTCCCATCAGTGAACCAAGTGTAGTCCGCCCCCGTCAAAGGGGTGTCCTTTAAGTCTCTCCGAACCCCGGTCTCCTCTGCTAGGATTTCAAGGCAGGGGTGTAGGACCTCTCGTCCTTCCTCTTCTTCTATGGGTAGGAGAGTGGCCGGGTTAAGGGTCACAGGCGCCCCAAATGTAATTCTTCCTTCATCTAGGAGCAGACTCTGATAATGTGTGACCCTGGCGTTGGATATCCAACGGTCAGGAGGTTGGCGGATAATGCTTTCTAAGGCATGCGGAGCAATGATAGTCAGCTTTTGGCCCAGAGTCAATTTATCAGAGTCTTTGACAAGGAGGGCAGTGGCTGCTATAGCCCGGAGACAGGAGGGCCACCCTTTGGCCACAGGATCTAGTCTCTTGGAGAGGTAGGCCACCGGCCGTTTCCAGGGTCCGAGTGCCTGTGTCAAGACTCCACGGGCCACCCCTTTCTTTTCGTCAATGTAAAGGGTGAAGGGTTTCTCTACATCGGGGAGGGCCAGTGCTGGGGCCGAAAGCAGGGCCTCTTTGATATCTAAGAAGGCTTTTTGGTGCTCCTTTCCCCAGTGGAAGGGTTGCCCTTGCTTGGTTAGTGGGTATAGGGGCTCTGCCATAGTGGCAAATCCTGGGATCCACAAGCGGCAGAACCCAGCTGTACCTAAGAACTCTCGGACCTGGCGAGGGGTCTGTGGAGTGGGGATCTGTAGGACGGTGGTTTTTCTCTCTTCTGTTAGCCACCGTTGTCCCCCTTCTAGGGCATACCCTAGATATGTGACTCTCTTCTGGCAGATTTGAGCCTTTTTGGCCGAGGCTCGATATCCCAGTTTGGACAGTTCAGACAGGAGGTCCCTAGTTCCCGCCAAACACTCCTCTTCTGTGGCCCCTGCCAGGAGGAGGTCATCTACATACTGGAGGAGAGTCACTTGGGGGTGTTCTGCCCTGAACATTGCTAAGTCTTTGTGGAGAGCCTCATCAAAGATGGTGGGGGAGTTCTTAAACCCTTGGGGTAGCCTTGTCCAGGTTAGCTGCCCGGAATCCCCCGACTCTGGATCCTTCCACTCGAAAGCAAATAATTTCTGACTCTCCGGGTGGAGTTTAAGGCAGAAGAAAGCGTCTTTAAGGTCTAGGACCGTATACCATACATGACCCGCAGGGATGGTGCTGAGGAGGTTATAGGGGTTTGGAACGGTAGGATGGATATCCTGAACCCGCTTGTTAACCTCTCTCAGGTCCTGAACAGGACGATAGTCATTGGTTCCTGGCTTTTTAACTGGCAAGAGGGGAGTATTCCAGGGTGATCGGCACTTGACCAGAAAGCCTAGACTCAGGAGGCGGGTGATGTGAGGCTGGATTCCTTCTCTAGCCTCTCTGGGCATCGGGTACTGGCGAACTGCTATCGGGGTGGCTGCCGCTTTCAGTTCAATGACTACTGGTGGTTGCTGGGTAGCCTCCCCGGCCCCAGCAGTCTCTGCCCAAGCTTTAGGAAATTCCCGTAGCCAGTGATCAAGATCAGCAGGGACCTTACCGGCTGGCTGAAAAAGTCGGTGTTCATCCTCTAGACGGAGAGTGAGGGCCATCGGGGGTCCCCATTTGGTAGTAGGTCCTGCTGGGGTGAAGATAATCTGGGCCCCCAGCTTGGTCAGAAGATCCCTTCCCAGGAGAGGAGCGGGGCACTCAGGTATGACAAGGAATGAGTGAGTCACTTCTCCCCGGCCTAGGTCAATGCTCCGGGTAGTGGTCCAAGGGTATTTCTTGTGTCCGGTCGCCCCTTGGACCAGGGAGGCTCGGCCAGATAGTTTTCCTAGGGGCCGTTTAAGGACTGAAAACTGAGCCCCGGTATCAATCAGGAAATTGACCGGTCTCCCCTCCACATTGAGAATTACCCGGGGCTCGGGGAGGGGAATCGAGCCCTGACCTCCCTAGTCACTGTCCTCCTGGAGGGCCAGAACCGGATCTTTCTTGGGCTTCTGGGGGCATTCACTCTTCCAGTGTCCTTTTTCCTTGCAATAGGCACATTGGTCTCGGTCTAACGGAGGCCGATTGCCGCCCTGGCGTTTCCCTTTCTGTCCTTCCTGTTTCTTCTTCTGACCTGTTTTCTCTCCTACCGCTGCGGCCAGGATACGAGTCAGTCGCTTCTCTTTCCGCTTCTCTCTCTGTTTTTCTTGCTCCTGTCTCTCCTTTTCCTGCCTCTGCTCCTTTTCCTCTTCTGTCTCTCTTTTATGATAAACTTTCTCGGCCTCTTTAACGAGGTCCTTGAGAGCTAAATCCTGTAACCCGTCCATCCTCTGTAATTTCTTTCTGATATCCGGAGCTGACTGTCCAATGAAAGCCATAGCCACCGATGCACTATGACCCTCAGATGTGGGGTCAAAAGGGGTGTATCGGCGATAGGCTTCCATTAACCTTTCTAAGAACACTGCCGGAGGTTCCGTGGCTCCCTGTATAATTTCCCTTACCTTGGCCAAATTAGTGGGGCGACGGGCAGCCCCTCGGAGACCTGCCATTAGAGTCTGGCGATAGACCGTCAGTCGCTCCCTACCTTCTGCGGTATTGAAATCCCAATCAGGGCGGGCTAAGGGAAAGGCAGAATCTATGAGATGGGGGAGCTGTGTCGGGCGCCCATCCGGGCCCCGAACATTCTTTCTAGCCTCGAGCAGGATTCTCTCCCTCTCCTCCGTAGTAAACAGTGTCTGGAGGAGCTGCTGACAGTCATCCCAAGTGGGTTGGTGAGAAAACATGAGAGACTCAACCAGGGCAGTAAGTTTAGACGGGTCCTCAGAGAACGGAGGGTGGTTAGTTTTCCAGTTGTACAGATCAGAGGAGGAGAAGGGCCAGTACTGAAGGGGGGGGAGTCCCGGGGTACCGTCGTCTAGGGGAGGCGGCGGCGGGCCTAGGGGGCGAAGGGGACAGGCAACCGTGGAGTCGGGCGAACAAGGAGGCTGGGTCCTCCGGCTTCGCGTGTGCTGCGAGGGACCACCTTGGGCAGCCTGGACAGGTGGAGGGGCCGGGGGAGCGGAGGGAACTGGGGGCAGGGAAGGAGGATAGGGAGGGGGTGGATCGAGGAGGAGGAGGTCAGTCTGCGAGTCGGGCAGAGGCGTCTTCTGTGGGACTCCACGAACCTGTGAAACAAGAACCTGGGACTGATTAGATAGAGGGAGGAAGGGCCGGACCCACGAAGGAGGTCGCTGGGCCAGGTCCTGCCAGACAAGAATATAAGGTTGTTGATCGGGGTGACCAGTCCGGGACTCGAAAACTCGGGAAAAAACCTGGGAAATCAAATTTAAATCAAAAGAACCATCGACGGGCCAACCGACGCCAAGAGAGGGCCACTCAGCCGAACAGAATGTCTGCCAAGGACCCTTCTTCACATTGACCGATAAATCGAAACCTCGACCCCTGACTTCCTTCCAATGATCTAGAGTTGCACTTAGGGGGGTAGATCTTCCCTGACCCATGTCAGCGAACCAAAAACTGAGACAAAGAGTAACTGAAACCAAGCCTATAGCAAACAGAAACCCTGGCCGTGGCAGACCTTGTTTTAACCACGGCGCAACTGGAGACGGACTCATCAAACAGAAAACATAGAACATGGAACACTTAACGACACTGAAACCAGACGAGGACCAGGCCGCCACGCGACCTGTCCTCCAGACGAGACCGGTCCCACTTCGACCGAGTCTCCCAGATGGGACTGACCGCCACTCGATCAGTCCCCAGACGAGACCGGTCTCTCGACCGAGTCTCCCAGACCCCGGGACGTCTCCCGGGGACGGTAGTTTTTGAGAGCCGACCCGACTCAAAGATTGTTTTTCCTTACGGAAAGAACAATCCTACCCAGAACCAGATTAGACGCGCCTACAGAATAAGCCGGCACCAGACAATAACGGACAGAGACAGACAATCGGCCGATTCTTAACTCACCTCCAAGTTGGTCTTGGACGTCTCCGCGGCCGCCACGGATCCCGGACGAGCCCCCAAATGTTGGGCCAAAGACCCCCCTGGTCTCTGGTCCTGACCGGTGGCGACCCCGAGAGAGAGCCAGGAGACCAAATTGATGCAAATGCAAGAGGCTTTATTCGAGCGCTCGGTCTCACAGCCTGCAGCCACCAAGGAGTGAGTGCTAGCTGGAGCCCCGAACAAGGGGAAGGGTACAGCTTTTAAAGACAAAAACCACACGCAGGTGGTTAAAAATTTTCCATTTTAATACATAGGTTTTTTGTTATTTTAGGTTATGCAACGGTTATATCCTGTAGCTGTTATTTGCTCAAACCCGCAAAATTAGCCAAGCAGATAGGCTGTTTTGCAACCCAGGACCAAGAGCATTCTGCGGTTGGGGCGTTAGGTTCTTGGAACTGGGGCAGGGTAGGTTGACGAGGGGGGGTTTAGGGAGGTTCAGTCTAACAGTGTAACAGGAAAATGCTGGGCTGAGAAACAGGAGTTCTAGCTTCAAATATTTGCTCTGGCTCAGTGACCTCAGATGAGAAAATTTACTTTTTTTTTTTTCTAATAAACTAATGAAGTTTAGTTTTTAGAGAAATTTTAGGTTTGTGACAAAATGGAGCAGAATGCACAGAGAGTTCCCATATATCCACTGTTCCCACAATCTCCTGACAATCAACATCCCACACCTGAGTAGTACACTTGTTACAATAAAAAAACCTTCGCACATCATTATTCACGAACACTCCTGGTTTATATTGAGGTTCACTCTACTTTCTTGGGGTTTTGACTAATGTGAGATGATGTGTGTCCACCATTGTAGTATTTATATATATATATAAAAGCCTAAGTGACTGTTATGACCAGTTGACCGGCAGTAACTATGACGAGCACTGACCATTAAGGCAGATGCTCAATGAAGGAGCTGCCCCCTGGTGCTCAGTGTGCTCCCACAGCAACCTCCTGCTGCCAGCCAACCTCCCTCAGTCCATCCCCGCTGCTGGCTGCAGTCCCTCCCCCCAGCCCTGATGGGCTCAGATCGCCAGCCAGGCTAAGGGACCCTACCTGTGCACAAATTCATGTACTGAGCCTCTACTAGAAGTATAACACAGAATAGTTTCACTGCCCTAAAGTTCCTCTGTGCTCTGCTGGTCCATCCCTCCTTTCTTCCTAACTCCTGGCAACCACTAATCTTTCATTGTCTCCATAGTTTTGCCTTTTCCAAAAAGTCATATAGTTAGAATCATACAGTATGGAGCCTTTTCACATTGGCTTCTTTCACTTAGGAATATACATTTATGTTTCCTCTGTTTCTTTTTTATGGCTTAATAATTTTTTAAAAATCTTTTTAAGTGCTGAATAATATTTAATTGTCTAGAACCTCATTTATCTATTAACCTATTGGTGAATAGCTTTCATTCCATGTTTTGGCTATCTGGAAAAAAAAACTGCTATAAATATCTACATAAAAGTTTTCATATGGACATATGTTTTCTACTTTTTTTTTAGGTAAATACCAAGGAGTGTGATTACTGGATCAAATGGTTACTAAAAATTGACTCAATTCCTTTATTTGGAATATAATTATTCAGATTGTCTATTTCTTCTTGTGTGAGTTTTTAGAAATAGTGGCTTTCAAGGAATTGGTCTATTTCATCTAGAATATAAAATTTGTAGTCATAGAATTTTTTAATAATATTCCTCTTATTGTCCTTTTAATGTCCATGGATTCTATGTTAACATTCCCTCTTTTATCCCTAATTTTAGTAATTTATGTCTTCTCTTTTTGTAGTTAGCTTGCCTAGAGATTTACCAAGTTTATTGATTTTTTTTTTCCAAGAACCAAACCAGATTTTGGTTTCATTGATTTTCTATATTGATTTCCATTTTAAAATTGATTTATGTTCTAATTATATTTCTTTTTTTTCTGCTTACTTTAAATTTAATTCATTTTCTTTTTTTATTTTCCTATAATGAAAACTTAGAGTATTGATTTTAGATAGTTCTTCCTTTCTAATATAGAAATTGAATGTTATAAATTTTTCTTGAAACACTGCATCACACATAAATTTAATAAATTGTATTTTCCATTTCATTTAAATATATTTTTAAATTTCTCTTGATGTTTTTTTCTTTGACCCATGTATGATTACAAATGTGTTGTTTAAACTCCAAATATTTTGGAGCAGGTTTTGTATAATTTATCTCCTTTTAAGTTTGATAGCATGTGTTTTATGTCCTACAATGTGGTCTTAATTGATGAATGGTTCATGAGAGCTTGAAAAGAATCTGTATTCTGCTGTTGTTAGATGAAGTAATCTAGAAATTTCAAATACATCCTGTTGACTGATGGTGCTGGTAAGTTTAATTATGCCCTTACTGATTTTCTTTCTATTGGTTCTGTCTATTTATGATAGAGGGGTGTTGAAGTCTCCAAATATAATAGTGAACTTATTTATTTTTCTTTGCAGTTCTATCAATTTTTGCCTCATGCATTGTGACACTCTGTTATTAGGCATATACACATTAAGGATTGCTATGTCTTCTTCGAATATTGATTTCTTTATTAATATGAAGTGTCCCTCATTATCTTTGATATCTTCCCTATTCTAAAGTCTGACCTGTTTAAAATTAATTAGATACTCCTGAGATCTTTAATTAGTGTTAGCATGGTATATCTCTCTCTATTCTTTTACTTTTAATCTACTATTGTCTTTTTATTTAAAGTGAACTTTTATAAACAAAATATAGTGGGGTATTTTTTAATATACTCTGACAATCTGTGTCTTTCAAGTGATGAGTTTAGACAAGTTGAATTTAGACAATTGCCATTTAGGGTAATTATTGATATAGTTGGGTTAATATCTACCATATTTGCTACTCTTTTCTATTTATTGCTATTACTCTTCATTTCTATTTTTTGTCTTTCTCTATATTTTTCATACCTTTTATGTTTTTAATTAAATATTTAATATGATTCCATTTTCTTTCCTTTTCTGGTATATCAATTGTGTTTCAATTTTTTTAATGGTTGTACTAGGGTTGCAATATATGTTTACAACTAATTCAAGTCCACTTTCAGATGACACTACATTGCTTCATATATAGTGTAAGTACTTTATAGTAAGAAAATGTTTCTTATTTCCTCTACCTATCTCTTATATCATTGTCTTTCATCATACATATATGTAAGCATACATAAGCATATACACTTACATAAATGAACACACTGCTGTTATTATTTTGAACAAATGTTTACCTGATTGATTAACTGATAATTTAAAAAGTTATATTTACCTTCACTTATTCATTCTCCTGTTCCCTGTTACTTATATTGATCTAAGTTTCTGACTGGTATCATTTTCATTTTCTCTGAAGAACTTCTTTTAACATTTCTTTCAAAACAGGTCCACTGTCAAACAACTTCCTCAATTTTTGTTGGTTGAGAAAATCTTTATTTCTCTTTTACTTTTTAAAAATATATATATTTTATTGATTTTTTACAGAGAGGAAGGAAGAGAGATAGAGAGCTAGAAACATTGATGAGAGAGAAACATCGACCAAATGCCTCCTGCACCCCCCCCCCCCCATTGCGGATGTACCCGCAATACCTTCAACCAACGTACATGCCCCTCACCGGAATCGAACCTGGGACCTTTCAGTCCACAGACCGAGGCTCTACCGCTGAGCCAAACCGGTTTCGGTTCTCATTTACTTTTGAAGGATAATTTTGCAGGGTACAAGATTCTAATTGGGTAGGTTTTTTTGCTAGGTTTTTTTTTTTTTTTTTTTTTTTTTTTATCACTCAACACTTTAAATATTCCACTCTCTTTTTGATTTCTTGTTTTCTGATAAGTCAGATGTAATTGTTTTCTTTGCTCCTTTATAGGTTAGGAATATTTTTCCTCTGCTTTTTTTTTTTTCTTCAAAATTATGTGTTTTTTGTGTGTGTGTGTGTGTGTTTTAATTTTCTGAAATTTTAATGTGATATGCCTCCATGTATTATTTTTTAGCATTTATCCTGTGTGATGTTCTCTGAGCTGCCTGAATCTTTGGTTTGGAGTCTGACGTTATTTAATATTCATTATTGCTTTAAGTATCACTTCTTTTTCTTCCTATCTTTCTTCTCCTTCTGATATTTCAGTTACACATATTGTTATACCTTTTGTTGTCTCACAGTTGTTAAATATTGTGTTTTTATGTTTCAGTTTTATTTCTTTTTCACTTTTGGTAGTTTCTAATGTCGCATCCTCAAGCTCAGGAATTCCTCAGCCTTGTCAAGTCTACTAAAAAGCCCTTAAAAGGAATTTAAATTTCTGCTACAGGGTTTTTGACATCTAGCATTCTCTTTTGATTCTTTCTTTGAATTTCCATCTCCCTGTTTTTATAATCCATTTGTTCATGCTTATTGTCTACTTTCTTCATTAAAGCTGTTAGTATATTCAGCATAGCTTAAAAAAATTCTGATCTAATATTTTCAACATTCTTGCCATTTTGACTTTAATTTTGATGCTTG